CAGGCGGATCTCTGTGAGTTCGAGGCCAGCCTGGGCTACCAAGTGAGTTCCAGGAAAGGCGCAAAGCTACATGGAGAAACCCTGTCTCGAAAAACCAAAAAAAAAAAAAAAAAAAAAAAAAGAAAGAAAGAAAGAAAATGCTCATTGGAGATTGAGCATTTAATATTGGGCAATTGATATTGACTTTATTGATTTTAGGAATCAGAAAGGACAGTTCAGTGTGTTGATTAACTTAGGAATTCTGTTTGCTTTGGGTATCCCTCATTTCTTACTGACAGATGGTTACCTTTTGTACATGCAGGTCAACAGAGTATGGATAAGGTAGTCTGGGGCATACTTCCAACAATGACAAATACTAACAGTCAGGAACTGGATGCAGAGAATCAACCATTATCCAATCAACCCCGTGCTCTATTTGTAAATACAGATGCTTATATAATACAAAGTTCATTAGAGATACCACATATGTTTATTTTTAGTAAAGTGTGACAGGGTGTGTGTGTTTATATTCACCACTATATTCCTGAGTATACAGGAATTCTCGGTGTATTTTTAAGGAATGGAAAGAAAGCAGGTAAATAAAATAGGATTGGTGATTTGCTAGTTTACTAGTCAGTCCAGGTCAATTTGAGTATCTTCAGAAGTTTTTTTTTTTTTAAACATATGGGGAAACATGGGCTTTTGAGACTTTTTCAATAACGTTGAGCTCTAAGGATTAAAATTTTTACATGCAAAGGATTTATTGTAAGTCATTCTGTGAATACTAGAAATAAAAGGATTTATCGAGACAACATATAAAGTGCAGTTTGAACAGATGGGAACTTGATGCAAACATCTTTAGTGAAGCTTCTAAAACATCTGTAATATAAAATGTTATTTTAGAAGACCAGCTTCTCTGACTTTAATCAGTGTTAAAGTTTCTTCCTCCGTCCTTTCTGCTGGGTCAGCACTCAGTAGCCTCCTCTCATCCTGCTTCTGCCCTGTAAGGTGTATCCTGTTTCACAGTCTGATGCTCTAGTCATATTGTCTGTGTAAGCCTTGTCAACACAAGAAACACAGCTGTGACCTCAAAGCGATAAGAGGTCATTTATTTTGGAGACAAATGTGGTGGACTATGGCTCTGGCACCCAGTCTCAGGTTGGTCCAGATCCTATGTCCCAACATTGCAACTGTGAAATTTTATCGTAACAGAATGAAGAAAATCATAACCAAGACAGTCTTTCTTCCTTCTTTCCATTTATTCATTCATTCATTTGTTTGTTATTTTTCCTTTGGTTGAAAATTTAGATATTTTTCTACACAATGTAATGTGATTATGGTTTCCTCTCCTTCTACACTTTCCAGTTCCTCCTCACCTCCCCTTCCATCCTGATCCACCCTCTTTTTGTCTCTCATTAGAAAACAATAGCATCCAAGAAATAATAATAAAATATATAATTTATGTAATATAACAGGACAAAACAAATAAACAGGAGAAGACCCAAGAAAAAGCATAAGAAACAGACATAGAAACACTCATTTGCACATTCAGAAACCCTATAAAAACACTAAACTAGAAGCCATGATATATATGCAAAGGACCTGTAGGGTTAAAAAGAGAGAAGAAAAAAATATATGAATGAAATAAAAGTAAAATGTATGGTAAAATTAAACACAAAAACCGAAAAGCCCTGGCATAACGTTATGAGACAAGGGACCTCCAAAGACACCATCCAGCTCGCTTCTGTTGGCCATCCGCTGCTGCGTATGCAGCCTGTCCCTAAGAGAAGTTTGTTTCCCCCATTTCCAAGTGTGGTGCTGGACTCATCCCATGACAGAAACATGGGGAAATATGTGGGCCTGGGATTCTAATCTGAGGGCGTTAAAAGGAAAGCGAGAAGAACATGCAGGAAAATACAGCAAAAGAGCTGATTTTACTTCTAATACTATTCTTTCTTTAAAAGGATCCCAAGGTTTAAGAAATTGACTAGGTGAACATTATTGCCAACTAAATGCCAGGGCAAAGGTAAAACCGGTTTCCTATTAGCTCCTGAATGCTGAAGACCATGCTTGTGCTTGCCTGGAGACTGGGGGCACAATCTTTATCATAAGACAATCTGGTCTGAGGAAAACCAAAAACATGCTCAGAGCATCACCTTTTCTGTCTGAGGTTCATACTGCCCTGGCTGTTGAGGCTATCTTAAATAGTCAATATGGCAATTATAATATGCCACATAGCAAATACTTGGAAAATGTAGTCTGCAGACCTCTTCCTGCTGTTCAATGGGCTTGGACGTTGAAGCTGGATTAGAGAAGGCACAGAAGAGTAGGTTCCCCTGTTCTTCATTTCTTTTTTCATGTGTCAACCTGTGGGTACTGCAAGCAGGATTGTAGAACAAAAACTCTCCGGTGTATGTAAGGGCTGAGAAGATAGGTGGCGTTCAAGTCTAGACAGTGTATCGTGATTCCAGCAGTCAGAAAGATGCCCCTCCCCACAGGCATCCCGATCCACAGAGTGTAAAACATTAAGTAAGTGGAGTGTTTATCTCTGAGCCTAAGGAATGTCAAGGGTGTCCTTTTAACATCATCTTAAACCAGTGTCTGACTCGGACAATCTTAAGAGAGCTTCGCAGCATAATGCAATCTTATGTGGATCTTTGGCGCTAATGGCATGGAGTCAGGAAAAAGTGGGTGAGCATTTAGATAGCTTCTAAAAATTCTGGATATTGTCAACCTCTGGCCTTGAAAATATAATATTCAATTTTTTCTTTCATCTTAAGAAAGAATTTTTTTTTTTGTCTTTAACTTACTAGGAATCCAAACAAGGTAAGAGTGTTTGAAAATTGATCTGTTTAAGTTAGAAGCTAAGAAACATGCTCCAGGTTGTCAGGTAAACCTTGGAAGATGCAGACATCCCAGGCTTATACTATTTTAGCCTTCTTGAATGGCTCTGAAGGAAAAACAAAATGGATTTAATTTTTGATAGATGACCTTAGGCATCATGGATACTTACTTGTTTTTGCAGGGGCTGGGGGCACAGTTCAGCATTAAAGTGCTTGCTGGGCAAGCAAGAGTTGTCAAGCTTGAGTCCCTGGTACCTTACATAAAATACCAGGCTCTGCAGGGCTTGTGTGTAACCCCAGCACTGGGTAGGATGAGGGATGTCAGATACTGGGGCATCCCTGGGGTTCATTGCCTCACAGTGAAGCCCAATCAGTGAGCTCCAGGTTCAGTAAGAGACCCTATCTCAAAAGATAAGGTGGGCATTGGACCTCTGGCTTTAACACCCGTATACAAAGTTGTTAAATATATATATAAAGAAAGCCAAAAAAGAGGGTGCTATAAAAGTTGTCAGCTACCCTTCCAGTAAGCATATTGCCTGCAGTGAGTTGCTTGTAGAAACTAAGTGGATCGTCTTTGCAGTATGTATTCTTCAGTTTTAAAGTTTTAAGGGGTTTCAGCAGTGTCCTGGCATGCCAAGACATGTATTTGATTGAATGTAATCTGTCATAAACATGGTTCTTCTTTTAGTCATTCATACTTAGGTGGGGTTTTTCTGACTTTACTTTTCTTCCTTCTATACATCTAATCATTTCCCCCATCATTATGAAATATTTATTGATTACCAGCTTGGAGACTCTGTTTTAGCCACACACTAATTTTGGATCAATGAGTGAACTTAGAAAATTTGCACTTCAATTGTGTGTTGCTGAATATCGAATTGTTTTGTGATTGTTAAGGAAAAAAACAAACCACTCATGTTTGCATTCATCTTATAGTATTTTTTTTTAATTTTTATTTATTTAGTATACAGCATGTATGACTGCAGGTCAGAAGAGGGCACCAGATCTCATTTTAGATGGTTGTGAGCCACCATATGGTTGCTGGGAATTGAACTCAGGACCTCTGGAAGAGCAGTCGGAGCTCTTAACCTCTGAGCCATCTCTTCAGCCCAGTATTTTTAAGTGATATATCTGTCTCAGCCCTTAGAAGCAGCATAAGCAATGTAAGTAGTATGCATGACCGTCACACCACTGAGGAGTCGGAGGGCTTAACTTAGTGCCTTGATAAATACGCACATTATAGGATGGTTTTTCTTGGGAGAGATAGTGGTCTCAGCCTCTTGCTTTCACTGCTAGGCTCCCTACCCTAATGCCGTCATTTTTCAGTCCCTTCTCACTGACACATAAGCATGTTCTTGCTGCTTGGAGACTTGGTACTTTTGGCTATCATTCCTCTTACACTGTTCTGGGTTCAACTCTCATCCTTTAAGATTTCTGCCGTGTCTACAATGATACTGTCCACCGAGAAGGGATTTCCCACTGCACAGACCCTTATTAAATACAAGACAATTTGTAGTAATGTGGAAATGGAGACTGAGCATGCTACTGGGATTGTGGATAAATGTCTTCAGAAGTGTAAAGATTAAAGTGAGCTCTTCCTCAGTTTGTGGCTCTTGACTATAAGGGCAATGAATAGGGCCATTTCATGACAGCATACTGGGCAATGGTGAAAATTACGTAGTAGAATAAATGAAATTATATGACATTTCCTCTTATAGTTAGAGATTACATGTTGAGCACTAGCCTTCCATTGTCTGTTGCTGTGAAGAGACACGATGACCATGGCAACTCTTACAAAGGAAAAAAATTTAATTGTAGGCTGGCTTACAATTCAGAGAATTTAGTCCATTTTCATCATGGCGGGAAGCATGGCGGCATATAGGCAGACATGGTGCCAGAGAAGTACCTGAGAGTTCTACATCCAGATCTAAAGGCAGCAGGAAGAGAGAGTGACACTGGGCCTGGCTTGAGCATCTGAAACCTCAAAGACCACCCCCAGTGACACACTTCCTCCAATAAGGCCACACCTCCTCCAACAAGGCCACACCTCCTAATCCTTTCAAATAATGCCACTCCCCCATGAGCCTATGGGGGCTGTTTTCTTTCAAACCACCACAGTTGCCTAGTTACTAAAATCTTCAATAAGAGCAGGTGGCACCCTTTAACCTGAGAGTAAAGGGAAGATGTCTTGCTAAAGCACACCATGTTTATTGAGAAGGGTCTTACTTACTCACCACGATGTGATTTATGAGTACTCCTGCTGGCAGATTCATACAGATGCCGGCTCTCCAGTACTTGGAATATGGTGTAGATGAGCTCATGCCCATAGAACTCCTCTCAAAGGCCACTGAGCTTTGCTCTGCTCTGATGGCCCTCGTGCATGTGACTTGGGCTTGCTTTTGCAGAATATTGTCACAGAAGAAAGCTAGTAGGGGAACATGCTTTGCTCGCTTCTGTAGAGTTCAAACATGTCCCCAAATTTGTGTTAGTGTTCAGGAAAGTCGTTTGTAGGAGTGTTCCGAGTGAGGCAGAGCAACAGCAGAGCCAGGCATGCAGTTCTGCAAACCCTGCACTCACTCCTGCCTTCTAGTTACTCATTAGTCCTGACTCTCATCCTTAGACCTGCTGGTCCTGAGACTCCACCATGTCCTTACTAATCTCCTCCCTGGTCCCCGTGTTCTTCCTCCTGGTGCTTTTTTTTTTTTTTTTTTTTTTTTTTTTTTGTGTGTGTGTGTGTGTGTGTGTGTGTGTGTGTGTGTGTGTGTGTGTTTTTCTTTTGTGATTTGCCGTGCCTGGAATTGTCATCTCAGCAACTAAACTGTAAAATGCCTGCTAGGCCAGAAGACAGTCCTGGAGTCCCTTGCACTCTCTGGCACAATGGTGGCCATATATATTGCTGGATGCATAGTACAATCTTTTGATTGGTGGTACTAAATTGTGAGTTATTGGGCGGTGATGAATGTATATAAAAGGAGTTGATACTTTGGCCCATGATGGAACTTTTTTGGGTTTAATATTTGGTCATTCTCAGAAGAGAATTTTACTTGTATGATTCTCTTAAAGTAAGCAAGTCAAATACTTCCCAGGATGCTGTTTGGGATGTTCAGGAAAGGAAATGGTAAATTAATGTACTTGGGAAAATACATGGAACAGCCCCATTTTAACAATCCTTGTAGGCGGAAGTTTCTGTCCCACCAGCAACTCCAAAATAATTGACTTGGAGGCTTAATACAACTTATAAATACTCAAGTAGTAGCTCAGGCTTATTACTGACTAGCTCTTACACTTAAATTAGCCATAATTTGTATCTATGTTTAGTCACATGGCTTAGAACCTTTTCTGAAAACAACATTCTCATCTTGCTTTCTCTGTCTGGCTAGTAACTCTCACTCTGCCCTCCTTCTTCCCATCATCCTCAGTTTGGCTTTCACACCTGACTTCCTGCCCAACTACTGGCCAATCAGCATTTTATTAAGCCAATTTGAGTGACAAATTTTTAAAGTGTATAAGAGGATTATTCCACAGCATTTCCCCCTTTTTGTCTAATTAAAAGGAAGGTTTTAACTCTAACATAGTAAAATTATATAAAACAAAAAGAGTTATTAAGTAAGAATTACTGTAACATTAATCTATTTGCATTTGGCACAATTTGAGAAAATACTAAATTATTTTCCTTATCTTGGTCAGTCTAAAGTTTTGTATCAAAGTTATCTTTTATTATAACTAAAGAAAACTGTAACTATAACTAACTGAGTTAATAATTGTTTTTTGGATTAAAGTACGTTCAATAATCTACCTTTTTTTCATCATCATAATTATCCTTTTCCCCATCATTTCTATATCATACCCCCCTTTCTTCTTTAGAAAGAAATTGACTATGACAAATAACAATTTATAACCAACCCCCTAAACAAAGACAAACATCTATAACTGTAGTGGGTAGCTATTCTAGCTTGGATCTGGAAGTTCCAACCCCCATTGAGACCCCGGCACAGAGAGAGCTCTGGCCCATCCAGCTCTTGGGTCTCCAGGCGCCTCCCCTCACCCCGCCTCGCAGGCGTGACAGTTGCCAGAGTCTCAGTGGGGGTTGGAACTTCCAGATCCAAGCTGGAATGGCTACCCACTACATCTAACCTATTTTGGGGGGAATGTGGGCATAGTTTTCTAGACTACTTCCTGTTGATTGGGAGCACTGGTAATCTTTTTGGGACCCTGAGAAAATTTAGGATAATTGTTTAGTCTTGGCTGTATTATTCTGTGAGGTTTGATCATCTCAATCAGTAACATACATATCTGTATTAATACAAATATAAATTGTGCATTGTATATAAACCAGCTAAAGATAATTTTGTTTTGTTTGAGCAGGTAAAATATATGTTACGTGCCTTGTAAGTTACTTTGGGTTTAATTTTTCATGTTTGTAGTCAGGATTTCAGGGGGTCTTCCTCAATCAATCCTGATTTTCCTTAACCCAGAATGAATCCATAGCCTCTCATTTCCTGTGGAAATAAAAACACAACTTCTCCCCCAAAGTGACATATCTTTTGACTTAAAGTTTGGAGTCAAGGTACTTTTTCAATGTATAGGTTGGTTTAATATAGCAGTTTCCATAATTCAAGGTCTCTTAGTAGTTAATATTGGTTCATTAACAGTCAAAAAATATAAACACAACACATTAAAATATAGAATCCAGACTCTCTCTGTATTTTTCATCTTTATCTGACTTAATCATATTTTTATTACTCTATTACCTTTTTAAGAACTTTACTTATTATTTTTAAATCTTTGATGTTTCTACCCTTTTTATTCTCTCTCAAGCCTGTGTATATTTTAAAACACACTGCAACCCATTTAGAGGTTTTTGTTTGTTTGTCTGAATCTTTTTACTGTGAATCTTTAACCCTTTTTGTCTAAATGAGCAAAAGTCCTAAATCTGTGGTGCACTCAATATCATCTCTTGTGTGAGATGGTGGGATTCCGCCATGTTTCAGCTCAAGTTGCATTCCGCATCCCCTTGTATCGTGGTCCACATGAGAGACATGAACTATGAAGCTGCTCTTGGCTCCTTTTTTGTATATCTAGAACCCTTTCTTTTAAGCTTTTTCAGGCTATGATGTGGATTTAAGTGCCAGTTCCTGTCCCACCAGCAACTCCCAAACACCCAGCAACCTCTTCCCAAATAATGATTGTTTAATATTACTTACAAATATCCAGCTGGTAGCTCAGGCTTATTACTAACTAGATCTTACACTTGAACTCATAATCCTCATCTATGTTTAGCCACATGGCTTGGTACCTTTTTTCAAAATGGCCTTCCCATCTTGTTTCCTCTGTGTCTGGTGCCTCTCTCACTCTGCTCTCCTTCCCATCATCCTCAGTTTGGCTTTCCCACCTGACTTCCTGCCCAGCTACCGGCCAATCAGCATTTTATTAAACCAATTTGAGTGACAAATCTTTAAAGTGTATAAGAGGATTATTCCACAGCAAATCCTGGTGACTCAGTTGAGAGGCGCTCCCCCTGAGGACCAGATCTGCCCCTCTGTGGCCTGTGGCCTCTCCTGCCTGCCAACCCATTGCCTCTGTAGAAGGACACCTGAGGGAAAATATTCATGGTGATTCAGGCCTCAGTGAACAGAGAAACTATTGTGACCCTAGTTTTAGGTTGAAACACTTTTCACTTCATGCTTTTGAAAACTAATTTCTTTCTAAAAGCTGTAATTGGTGTATGCATTGCTTTTTCTCAAGGTCAATTATTTGAACCAATTTATAAGGCATATGAGTTTCTATATGTTTAGCTCTATGGATCTGGTTCCTAAATTTAGTCCCTATTTAGTAGTTCATTTAAGTCATTTGGAAATTTAAAGTCATGTGGGTTCCTAGAGAGTCTACCCAGTCTATACTTTGTTAGACTGATTTGCTTTTTATATTTCTAGTAGTAGCTACAGTCTGTTTATATTAAAGAGATTGAAAGTAAAGTCTGCAGAGTTCATGGCTGACTTACAGAAAATCTGAACAGCTCACCTGTCACCCAGAGCAGGCTGGAGTCGAGGTTAGCTAAGAACACAGGCCTGAGGCTTAGCCCTGCCTGGCACTGTGAGTACATGGCAAGTGTAGCAGCTGGTCACGTTCTTATCTCTGCTCTACAGAGTATATTCAGTATATTGTTTGTGCATTGTTTTTCTGATACATTTGTGATGTTCTTATGAAGTTTCCACAAGGCAGATAAAGCTGGGCATGGTGGCGCATGTCTGTAAGCCTAGCGCTTGAGAGTCTGAGGTAAGAAGTCTCAGAGTTCAGGGCCATCCCGAGCTTCAGACTAGCTTAGCTGGCATATTAAGACCCTGTGAAAAATAAGGCAATAGAGAAAATCCCAATAAGCAGAATTCGTCAGGAATTGTTAAAAATCGATTCTGGTTGGAAAAGAAGGCATTGTCCACAGAAAGGATTGCCTGAGAGGGATGTGGCCTTTCTCTGGCAGATTCACTGTTTTTTCTCCCATTGCTTTGCAGCGGAGATCAAAATCTGTTTCAAGTACTACCATGGCATCAGCGGAGCCCTGCGAGCCACAACCCCCTGTATTACTGTGAAGAACCCAGCTGTGATGGTGAGTTTCCCGTTTGCTGGCTTCCTCCTGTAGCCCATGAAGAGTTCTATTTTTGCCAGGGCAGCCCTGTCAGGGTCATGAGGAACAATGAAAAGGAAGCACACGACGGTGTGGGCACTGCTTTAGGAACGGAAATGTGTGACAAGGCTGACATGACTGCATCTGCGATCCCAATCAGTGGAAAAACACTTGCCACAGAGCAGTCCTGTGTATCAGCGACTCTTCAAGGGAACAGAGTGAACCACAGTGTGCTGTCGTGAAGGCTTTTGCACGTGGTTAGTAGGAAATGGTGATGCTGTATCTCGGATGGATTTACATGAATGTGGTGTGTAAAGGGGGAAAAGGAACCCAGTTAAGTCACAGTCATTCTGCCTGCCAGTCACCTCAAGGAGCTTTTACCTGAAGAGACTGTGTGATGGGAGTCATATACGGGCAGTTTCCTCAGAGGTCTGAGTTTAAATCTCTCACAGAGTGCTGAGTGGGAATCTACTGTTTGGCAAAATATGGCCACTCTGGGAGCCAACTTCTTCATCAAGCCCTCAAGTGAAGAAAGATAGCCATTTACTTTGAAAGAAAAATTCTCCATTTCTAGAATGGTAGTTCACTTTACTTTGGATTGCTTTTACAATTTTCTGACTTTTTTTCTCTTGGTAGATCAGCTTTAAAAATCTAAAGTTCTCATAATTGGACTGATTGATGGTTTAGGAAGATTACCAGACTCTGACATATGTGAATGCTTGTAGGTTTTTGTCATTAGTAAAAGTAAGATTGTAGCCAAGTTGTTGTGGCGCACACCTTTAATCCCAGCACTCAGAAGGCAGATCTTTGTGAGTCTGAGGCCAGCCTGGTCTACAAAGGGAGTTCCAGGACAGCCAGAGCTGTTACACAGAGAAACTCTGTCTTGAAAAACTAAAACAATTATACAAGTCTAGGAAAAAATTCAACTCTTATGACATAGAATCTTCACTGTGTGTGTGTGTGTGTGTGTGTGTGTGTGTGTGTGTGTGGTGTTGCTATTTTGGAAATAGACAGAGGGTCAGGTTAAATCCCCCCAATTGAGGAAGTAATCTCTATAGATGATATTTTGGAATTGTCCAGTCTCGCTGTGTGCTGTTTTTGATAGTGCCTGAATCAGTCAGTCATTTCCTTTCCTTCATTATTCTGACGTATTTCCAGTGGGTGTGTCTGCTGAATGCCAGGCCCCCTGCTGGGAATCAGATGGTAAGAAGAGCAAAGTTGTCACTTGTCACTGCTGTAGTGAGGGGGTGTGGCATCGATCAGATCACTTAAGTGATCCTTGTATGAGGAGAGACGTAGACCTGTACTAGCTTGTAGCAGTAGGACCTGTCATGACCAGGAATGCTCTGAGCGAGGGCGGCCTAGAAGACGCTGCTTGGGTGAGGAGGGAAAAGATGTGAAAAATGGTTAAAATTATGTCTGAGTCTCTGTGATATAAAGCTAGTGTAGAATATAGGAAGAATAGCCTGCATTACTGCATAAGACTTTGGGGTGTCACAGAAAGGTTTACAACTGTTGACCACAAAGTCTGCCATGACAGTGTAACACTGGACTAGCCTGTCTCCTCCTTAATGTTGTAAAATGAAAAGTTGCACACCTAGAAGATAAGGCTGTGTCTAATCAAACCTCTGAAAACCTCACTTTGAGTGAAATCAGACAATAAAAGTAAAGCCAACCCTTCCTGAATTCAGAGTCATTTCGACTTGAGCAGTACTAGAGCCCAGCTCTCACCGAAGGCAGTGGGAATGGCTAGTCCCCTGCCCATTGAATGCAGTGTAGTGACTTTCCAGTGAGATCACTCTGCCAAAGCCTGCGGTTTGGGAATCACTAATGTGCTTCAACATGACCCCAGAGCTTTGGGTAGACATCAGCACCGCAATCAAGAGAGAATGTTTTGATTGAAAAACTCATTAGTGGAAGTGGTGGTCAATAGATTTCTGAACAATCTACAAGTACTTGGGTCTGTATTCTTGGGTCTAACCTCCTTTGGGGAGGTCAGTGCTATGCCGTGGTCCCCCCGGCCATACAGCATGCATTTAGATGTTGTAAGTAACAGCGCAGTGTTTACTGTAAGTAAATTCACAGTGCTTGCTCAGTATGACTGTTCCATGCTAGATGCGAAGAATAGACCTGAGGAAGACAGCCGGGAGTCTCCCCAGGTCAGGAAATGGGCCACTGTCCTGATCCTGTGACCTTTCCCACCTATCCTTTTGTGATGAATCAAGGATGAAACCCGCTGCCTCCTCTGTCATTTGTATGTCGACACGTTGACATCATTGTCATTCATCAGAATACACCGTGAGATGTGTGTCAGAGCCTTGCAATGGGAAACCCTTCAGCTGCAGGGCGGGCTCTGGCACTGTGTTGTCTCAGTGCTTGGTTGACAGTGTCCTTCTGGGTTTTCCTGGAATGGATCTATGGAGTGAGTCTATTTAAAACCTCCCTCTAATCACTGCTGCAGACATGCTTATTACGATAAATGGCCCTGTATTCCATGATAATGGTTGGCCTTCCGTGGCCTTATTGCAGTGTGAGATAAAGTTGTATTCTCTGAGTGTTATTTCAGTTGAGCATTTTGCCAGAGAGGTGGCACTGTTTTTCTATGAATTTTTTGATAATTGTTTTTAGGTGAGTCTTACTACATGAACTACGATTTTTACATTGAAAATTGCAGGTGTCTTCTTTTGTTCCTGTAGCTCCTGAAGATATTTTAATTAGTTTATGAGGCAGGTGTGGTGGTATATGCCTGTAATCTTAGCACTTGAGGAGGAGGTAGAAACAGCAAGATTGTGAATTGTCAACCTGGGCTACATAGTAAGACAGTGTCTCAAAAGAAAGAGGGGAGAGAAGAAGAGGGGAGGAGAGAATTCTAAATGAAGGCAGTCCATTAATCTTTTCAGCCACAAATAACTCAGCACAAGCAAGTGCCTGGTTAGATACAGATGCTCTATTCCTGGATGGACGTGTCTTACTTACTAGACAGTGCGTTCTACTCAAGGCAAGGCCCCGTTTGGGGGACCCACGATCCTAGTGCAGTGGGGAGTGTAGGTTGCTGCTGTCTGTCCCAGGGGAAGTCTGTGTCACCTGTCATAGTCTAGGTCCTGGGTGCTGAAAGCAGGATGAACGGTCACAGATCTGCTGTCTAGATTTGCTGCTGCCTCCACCCCGGTGAATCTGGGAATTGTGAGTCAGAGGAATAAAATCCATGGTCATAACTCACGTTTTTGTTGAATGAACGCTCTATGATCATCAAGAGGTTGGGATTACGGGGGCCGGGAAGGTACATAACTCCATCAGAAAAGTCCTCACCTTGCGAATGTGGGGAACCTGAGATTGATCCTTAGAAAACACATAAAAAATGCTGGGTGTGATCACACGCACCTGCAGTCCCAATGCTGAGGAAGCGAAGACAGGCAGATCCTTAGGGCTTGCTGACCAGCCAACCTTAACCTACTTACATGGTCAGTTTTAGGTTCATGAAAGTCCTTGTCTCCAAAGAAAAGGGGAAGAGCACCTGAAACAGTGACTGAGGCTGTTCTCTGGCCTTTCCATGTACACACCCACACACAGGAGAGTGAGGAGGAAGGAAGGAGAGGGAGGGGACAGAAAAGGGAAGAAAAAGGTGTGATAGATAAAGAAAGGTCCTAACACAAAATTATCAGGCAGTTGGTTTTCACACAATCTTGTCTAATTGTCACATAATCTTGTCCAAGGTGCAGAAGGTAGAAAGAAGACAGTAGAGTTGACATTGAACTTGACTTGGCTCGGTGATGGTCACATGTGACGCTGTGTGAGTTTTCCATGGGGAGTACAGCAGAGACAAGGGGGTATCAAAGACCAGAGACACCCAGCACCCGACGGAGGTTCAAGAGAGAAAAGCAGAGTTTGTTCACATGTTGTTGCAGTTGGGGGAGACTGCTAAGTAGAAATGACTCAGTTCCAGACATGAAAAAGGAAAATGAGGATTTATACTCAAGAGGCAGAGTCAGTGGGCGAAAAATTATTCAGAGGGCCAAGAAGATGCAGTAATAACTCTTGATAAGCTAACTTAAACATAATTTTTGCTGAAGGCAGGCCAGGGTGATCAGGTGGAACCTGGAGCCTGGTAAGAGATGAAGAATTTGGTCCGGTATCAAGAGTGATGTCATAGTGAGGATAGGGATTCTCTCTAGATGAAGGAGAATTTTTATAATCTGTGAAGCTAGAGACAAAAGGCTAAGGTGAGGCCTGGTTGAGCTGAGGGCGCACATGAGCTTGACTAAAGTTTGGTGAAGGAAGGAACCTTGGTAGGGTTTAATATGAAATTCTGCCTCCGTTCTGTCCCCTGGTAATGTGTACTTCGTTTTCAGAGTACCACAGATTTCTTAGAAATCATAAATTATGTACTAATTGTATACAAATGGAGAGAAAGATCTAAATTTGACTTGTGGTCTATAAATTACTGCTTTTGTGTAAGATATAATTTACTCACAAGTTTTTAGGGAAAAATGATTGTACAATAACATTACACGGTCCTATCATTGCTAACTCCAATAGCCAAGTACCCACACTGCAATACAGCAGAAGCCTGGATGTAGGTCGGACACCTGTGTGGTCACTTAGAGATAGGAGATAAGGGAGGGTGACTTGGTACATGTTAATGAATCTAACATAAGTCGAGAACTTATTCCTTGCTTTCTTATTAAATATGAGGAAATTTAGTGTTTAGTTTTAGTAGTAATATGAATATATTCCTCCAGGCATGGTGGTACATTCTAATAATCCTGACACTTGAGAGGCAGAAGCAAGAGGATCATGAGTTCAAAGCCAGTTTGGGCTGTGTAGAGATGGATGAGAATTACTAAGAAGGTGGGGGGTGCGATCTGCGATCACAAACCAACCTCCAAGAATTCTTGCTGAAGACAGGCCAGAATGGTAGATATCACCAGGGTGGGGGAGAGGCCACTGATGACAGTTGAGAAACTTGGTCGGATATGAAAAGTGATCTCGTCTCAAGGGATGGGATTCTCTCTAAATGAAGCAGGCCAGCCTGAGCTGTATAACAAGACCCTGTCTTAAATATAACAGAAATACTGTTACCATTAGTGTCACCTACACATACGAACACACGACAGACAGACAGACAGACAGACAGCTGGCCTCAAACTGGTGATTCTCCTGCCTCATCCTCCTGAGTGCTGGGGTTATAGGAATGTATACCATAAATACCTGTATTCATACTAAGAGGGAAGACAGAGCAAAGTAGGTTGGTTATATTAAGGAAGATTTCAAAGTTCACATTTTCTTTGAATTTAAAGATTAACTTTAAATATGGACCTTTGGTCCTATATTTTGTAATCTACATTTGCATATCTGTTCTAAGATTTGAAATTTTGAAGACATGCACTACAATGCATTTTGATATAAAAATCACTGTATGTCCAAACAGATGAGGGTCCCTGGACCATTTGATAGCATGATTCCCATATGAAATTTCACACACATTTTTCTTCTCAGATGGGAGCGGAAGGCATGGAAGGAGGTGCTTCCGGAAGTCTACATTCTCGGAAACTCGTCAGCTTCACGTTGTCAGGTAAGTGTCTGAGTGTGGCCTACAGTCTGAGGATATGTAGTGTCAATGTAGGCCACAGTCTGTTCTTCGTAATGTCACATGTGGCCTAGAAAGTAGGTTATTTTGAGTTCTTTTGATCATACTTCTGGAAAGTCAAGTACATATCTTACCATGATAAAATTAGATGATTATTATGTTTAGAAAGTACTCTTTTTTTTTTTTTTTTTTTTTTTTTTTTTTACCAAGTATCCTCATGGAAGGACTGTGTGAGTATGGAAGGTTATTGAAAGCGTGTGTAAACTGCTAAATAACTCTGCCAAGGGAGCTTTGGTGATTTTTAAACAATCTGTGCTTACTTCAGCTAGAGAAAGAAAAAGTTGTGAAGGCCTGAAGTAAAAACATGAAAGGCATACTTCTCTCTGTGAGGATTGCACATGAAGCAGACAGATAGCTGTTTTCATGAAATTAAAAAATATAGTAAGTAAAAAGATAATGGTTTCCTGTTAAAAAACATCCCACCTGCTTGCACGTAAACCATCCAGTTACAACACCGTTCTCAGGCTATGAGTTTTGTTTTGCAGTTTGAGAAGCCGACTGAGCTGAAACTAGCATTAAAATAATTGGGGCTTGCTACCAAGGGGAAGATGTTTTGATAAGACATCAGTTTACACAAATTGACATTTTTTAAACAAAAAGAATATATGTGCGTGGATGTGTGCACTGGGCTACAGCGTCAAAAGGTGAAATTTATTTTGTGCATAGGGCACTGTGCTGGGGAAATGTCCATTCGACCACAGCACTCTCAAAAGATCTTCAAAAGCCAGCGACCTGGTGAGAACGCATTGGCAGTTATGAAACTGAGAATGCTCTATGAGAGCCAGTGCTTGAATTGGAGTTTTCAAATAGACAGCTGGATGAGAGTTTATACAAGGTCTAAAGTTTACCTGGTAAAAAAATAAAATAAAATAAAAATCAGAAGGTCTGTGATTTAGCTGAGATTCTGTTTTCTCTGCTTTAATACTGTGACTGAGCATCAGCATCTAAACGCTGATCCTTGGTATCAGCCACAAACCCTAACCGTCGGGTCAGACCAGGCTGTGCACATCCACTCACTGCTGGCCACGGTCTTCTTTTCGTTTAGTTCTGTGTCGTCCTTTTCGCTTCCTGGGGGGCTGTATGTTTGAGGGCCTCCTTCCCTTCCTTCTGCTTCCTGGTGAATCTCAGAAGTTGTAACCTGGTGGCTTATGGTTCAGATCGGGCCAATAAATATAGTTTGTTTGGGGATCTTAGGGATTTTAAATACTTTTCAATACTTTAAAAGCCCCATTGTCGCTGGGCCGTGGTGGCACACGCCTTTAATCCCAGCACTCGGGAGGCAGAGGCAGGCGGATCTCTGTGAGTCAAGGCCAGCCTGGTCTACAGAGTGAGATCCAGAACAGGCACCAAAATGATGTAGAGAAATCCTGTCTCGAAAAAAACAAAAACAAAACAAAACCAAAAAAAGCCCCATTGTTTGTGATAGCATTTGTCTTCACACTGCTTCCTGTTGATGATTGACAGCTCGTGCTTTAGACCTGGGAAGTTGTCAGGAGTTATGGACACTGAAGCCTCTGGTGACAATAGGGAGCAGTTAGCCACCCCCCCCCCCATGACAGTGTCTATACTCTATCGATTCCGTAGGTTAGCACTATTGAGCTTTGTGTTTGGTTGATGTATATCACTTTAAACATGGCAGTCACACATGGATTTTGACTTCAGAGGCAATGCTGTTAACCCACTGTAGTAGGCGGATTTCTGTCCGTAAAGTACAATCACAGGCCATCTTCCTGAGAATGAGAAACAAGCCCTTGGCGGACATCAGCGAATCCATCTTGAAATACTTCTGTCACATCCCACCTCTGTTCACACGGAAGCTGGCTGCCTTAGATGTGCTTGTCTTTTAGATAGGCATTTGCCGAGTGTTACAGAGACGTGTAAAATCATGGGAGGCGAATGGATTCTATAAGGTTGATTCTACAACAACTAACATCATTGTGGACTGACAGTAGGTGACACATGTGTCTGAAAGATGATTGACAGACCGGGACAGCTGCCAGCAGAGGTGCTCTGCCTGATTATTGAAGGATACGCCAGGGCCCAGAGACTTGAACTCCACAGCCTCAGCAAAAACTGCCTTGATTGATGTTTTAAATCTTATCCAAATGGGGCTGAAGCCAGGATCTTTAGCACGTGTGCCTTTGTGGCGCTGAGTTCTTCCTTGGTCGGCTGCGTGATGTGGCTGTGTGTGAAGAGTGAAACAAAGGGAAATAAAGAGAAGCAAGAACAGAGATAAGATGAGTAAAGGGAGCCCAGTCAACAGATTACAAATAATGGGCAGTTTATCACCTGTATTAATGAAGATGCATTCATCTCTGCAGCGTCTCGCTGTGGAAGAGTTGGCGTCAGGGTTATCTGATGTTGACATCCTTTATCACGGTGACGGTAATCTGCTGGTGCAATGCTTTTGTGTTCAAGGGAGTGCTTGTCTGTGAATGAATTGGTTCTGTCAGACTTTGTAGCAGCTATTTTTATTCACGTTACTCTGCATCTACTTCAAGGAAATCCCCTGCTTGGAAGTAAACTTAATATCTAGAGGCTATCAATCTGTCTTGAGTCTGAGGCAGGAATACTCAAGAAGGGAAAGAAAATGAGTGTGTGAGCTGCGTTTTCTCCTCGAGGCTACTTTACACCAACAGGGAAAACATGCAGTTGGTGAACAGCCGAATGAAAATCTGCATTTAATAATGACTGCACAGTCGATGAACACAGTCTATGAAGTGTCAACAGTGGGATCCTGGGATAATGACAGCAGCTTCTCAGAGTGTCTGACTCATCCCCTACTTATCCCTTTCCTCTCCTGCTGATTTCTAGATCAGCAATCAATGTACATCTCATGCAGCCTTGCTAACGTGAGGCCTTGCTGTTGACTGGCTCCATATTTGCTGACATATTGCCCTATCTCTTCCAAGGCTGACTGTGTGTCATTAGACAGCCCCGGTCTGTTTTCATCACATGTATCTAGGCCATGAGTTCTTATGGACCAGGCCATCTTTCCCAGAGAGTGAGCTCTGCCAGTACATAAAACCCAAAGGCCTGTTGGGCAGTGGTGGCACACACCTTTAATCCCAGCACTCAGGAGGCAGAGGCAGACAGGTCTCTGAGTTCAAGGCCAGCCTGGTCTACAGAGTGAGATCCAGGAAAGGCGCAAAGCTACACAGAGAAACCCTGTCTTGAAAAACTAAAAAACAAAACAAAACAACAACAACAAAACAAAAAACCCAAGGCCTAAGTAAGCCCTATTGACCTCCTCTAATTCGGAGCCATGACATAGCATCTCTTTCCCTGCTGATCTAGCTAAGGCAAGGGTCTCTCTGTGCATAATCGCTCTCTAAGCTGGAGCGTTCAAGACCTCCCTATTGATCTGAATCATACAAAAATGCAGTCTCTTCCACAGCTTTCAAGATGGTTTAGCTTCAGAGTTCCATTAATCCTGCTGCTTAATTAATACCACAACAGCCTCCGAAAGGTGTTGTGGGCCCAGCTAAGCCAGCTTCAGTTCTAGACATTTGTGTACCTGTTAGCCTGACCATTTAAATGTCTCCTCGCTGAGCAGATTTCAGCTACGACTTTTAGCAGCTCATCTCATGTAAAACATATTGTAAAAATAAGGTAAGTTGTAAGTTATAGTCACTGAATATTTAAATTACTTTATAGGTTATGGAAAAAATAACTGAAGAATTATTTAAAATAATTGCATTCACATATTGGACTCCTTATAAAATATGTATGACATTTAAGATGTAATACAAATGAATGTGTGTTTTAAATTTTGATCTCAAGTTAAACTTGGTTCAAACTTATACATACATCCATGCATACATATATATAGTATAGATATATGTAATTTTATGTATGTGGGTCTTTTTTGTGAAAGGACATGTTTGTGGAGATTGATTATTGAGGATTTCTATACAGAGTTGTCTTACATTCTGGCTGACCAACCACACTGCACCATGAAAAAGATGATGAGGACCCACAGGCACAAGGCCTGAAAGAGTTCCAGGTGCAGGGGCATGAAGTAATGAAAAGGGGCTGGCTTTAATTTGGCCACCTTGGAGATTCCCCTGCTGGAATTCCTTTCATGACCTGCTTGTCATTTTCTGTGTGCGCACAGTGTGACTAAATGCTCTGTGTGACTGGCCCCTTTCCGGTTAGAGCGTTGGAGTAGTTAAGGACACCCGAGTCTTGTGCTAACTGGGATGTCTGGATCCCCCTCCTCTCTTCTGTACCTTCCCCACCTACCGCCTTTCCTCTCTCCCCCTCCCCCATCTCCTCCCGCCTCTCTCTTTCTTTAAAGATCTCAGGGCAGTTGGGCTCAAGAAAGGGATGTTCTTCAATCCTGACCCTTATCTTAAGATGTCCATTCAGCCAGGGAAGAAGAGCAGTTTCCCTACGTGTGCCCACCACGGCCAGGAGAGAAGGTCCACTATCATCAGCAACACCACCAATCCCATTTGGCACAGAGAGGTAAGAAGGGGGTGAGGGTGGGGTGGCTTCTGCTTGACAGTTCTTGACAGGCACATTTGTCTTTTCTCTCTGAACGCCGTGCGGCCTTGGGTTGTTAAGGGGTGAGGTGGGCAAGATGGCTCCCGGTGTCGAGTGTCGTTGTCTCGAAGCTGTATATGAGCTGTTTCCTTCTTGTTAGGGCCAGGTATGTGGTAAGACGGGTGAAGTAAGCGGTCACTTCTAGGGTACAATTTAATGGTATGCTAAAGGCTTAGTAATCAAAATATCTTAATATTTTTTAAAACTGAAAATTAATGCAAAAAGTTCACGAGGAACAAAATATAGGAGAGTTCTTGCAAGAGCAGGAGAATTAAAATGTTACCTTGCAGAGTCACAGCAGAGCCTGAGTTGAAGGGGGAAAGGCTGGTTTATATTTAAATTTTTTATCTCTTGCTCTAGCATATCGTCAGTCCAAATTAAAGGAGTTTCTCTCCATGGGCTTTAGCAAATGTTTTTATGAACTTTCAGATTTTTGCTGGATGAGCCATCCAGGAAGTCGGCATCCCTGTGAAGGCAGATTATGTTGATGGTCCCATAGAGTTCCTCACAGCTTCGTTATCCTACCCATCCAGCACAGAAAGACACATCCCCTGAATAGTCCTGTGGCTTTTTTGAATAGCAGATTGTTGCTTGCGTTTTTTTTTAATACCTGTTCTAAAATGATATTATAATGGCAAAAGTCACAGCACCTTATCTTCTATGTCTTGAAGCCTAGAAAATATAAAATATTTTTCAGTGTGAGCTCTAGAAAGCCCATAGTAGATACAAAAACAAAACAAACCATAGTGCTCTATGTGAGGAAGGAATCTGGTGGAAGATCCACCTCAGCTCCCCCACCATCTCTTTTTGGGATCCGCCCCCTTCAGAACTGGCCAAACACAGCTCCTCCCCCAGAGAGGCTCAGGATGACTCCCACAGGGAATATATAAGCAGCATCCCAGGAAACATACTCGTGGGTCTCATCCCCTTCTCCTCTCTGTGGAGCTGGGGAATTGCCCAGGAGTGCTTTATCCATTAAACCTGGGCTTTTCCTGATTCAGTTTGCTGCAATGACGGAGAGGCCTTCAGGAGGCCTAAAACTTATCACTCTGTAGCACAAATCTTAATTGGTCTTAATAATAAAAACCCGGAGTCGGATATTAGGGGGTGAAAGCCGAAAGATCAGGGAAGCAGAGCAGCCAGCCACTAGAGTTCTTATCTCTACTGAATCTTCAGAAAGAGACCGAGTTCCTGTCTCCTCCTGCCTTACATTCCTCTCTTTGCTCAACCATATCGCTTCCTGTCTCCACCTCTCTAGTGCTGGGATCAAAGGTGTGTGCCTCCACCGCCTGGCTCTGTTTCTCTCTTAGACTGGATCAATCTTGTGTAACCCAGGGTGGCCTTGAACTCCTGATCTTTCTGCTTCCTCCTCCCAAGTGCTGGGATTAAAGGTGTGTGCCACCACTCTCTGGCCTCTCTGATTAACTAGTGGCTAGCTCTGCCCTCTGATCTCCAGGCAAGCTTTATTTGTTAGAGCACAAACAAAATGTCACACCGCTCTTTTCCTCTTTCTTGTCTGTCTTTTTACACTGCCCAGCCCAGAGCCAGGGCTGCCATACATGCTAGCCAAGCACTCTACACTGACTATATAACAGCCTGCCCAGCCCAGTGCACTTACAAACTTCTTGACCTGATGGAGTAGCTGAGATTATGATCTAACCATCTCTACCCGTGGTGATCAGTACACTCAGCTTCAAGTATTAATGTGACTACCTACTTAGATGCTTACGTGGAGCCTTCTTATTCTCAGCAAGTACTATTTTCCATTAAGCAGATGACCAAATTCCTCTGCCCTTTGGAGAACTCTAATTATTATACTAAATAGACTAAAGGTGCCTAAATGTCAATCAGGCTAGTAGTACTGTTCACATTGCTGGAGATGCATGGACACCATCAAGGAAAAGTACAGTGATTCACACTCGCTTCCTGCCTCCATCATTTACTAAGGTCAAATTTTTAAATAAAAACAGAATCGGTATTCCTGATTTTTCCTTCTACTTTGGTGAAGTGTTGTATGCATAATTTAATACTTGATAGTATCTCCTGTGACTGCTGAATCAAGAAAGTGGATGAAAAGTGGCTCATTGGATGAAAAGACGTCTGCTGTCCTTCAGATCTTAAACCTTTGTTTTAAGAATCATGAATTTCCGTAGTTTTATGTGAGTACAGGATTGACAGAAGCTGGTAATGTGGACTCTGCTTGTCATTAGAGTTTCAGGAATAGCACTTTCTGTCGATAAAATGATAAAATGTTCCATTTGTCTTCTAAGCCAACGTGGTGCATGTTTTTGATTTCAGAAATACTCCTTTTTTGCACTTTTAACTGATGTCTTAGAAATTGAAATTAAAGACAAATTTGCCAAGAGCCGCCCCATCATCAAGCGTTTCCTGGGGAAGCTGACCATTCCGGTGCAGAGGCTGCTGGAGCGGCAGGCCATCGGGTAACCAGCCTCACTTTGGGGGACCTTGAGATCAGTTGATGCCAAGGCAGCGGAAGTAGTGCTTGGCGGTCCTGGGGTGTGTCTTGCTGATGAGAAGTGGGATGTGTCTCTAAACAATAAAAGTGCGCTTATGCTCAGTAGAGTGCACTGGACCCAGATACCCCATTTTAATGATACACTTTCTTGTGGTATCAATTCCCTTTCCAAGATTCACCTAGGTAGCAATCAATGACAAATCTTAGAGTGTTCAGTTCGTTTGGGGGCATGTTGAAATTTTGCTATAATATCCCCTCGTGAGCATCATGTTTCCTTCATCTTCTCCTGCTGAATTCAATCCACAGAGCCTACCTTTATTCCTGAAGCACAAAAACAAACTTATATGGGGACTTAGTTTTAGTTTTTCATTCCTGTGAGCTGTCTATAGGTTGTGAGTAAAGAAATACAACACACCCTCATCCATTGTTATGTTATGTATTTTTATGTCATACGTACTAGCAAATTTCATACAACAAGTACTCTGGGATAGCTCAGTGAGAACATTTTGTGTGTCTTTTTTCAGTGCAGGGAAACCTTTTGAATACACAGTAGTGGTAACAGCAAGAGTAATCAGTGTGAGTGCCATCCTTGTAGTAGTGGTGAGGGTGACCCCATGAGAAGCTGAGTTCACACTCTGTCAGCAGTTAGACGAGTACACGGATTTGCCGATGCAGCCTCAGTAACTCCAAGAGGTAGATGATGTGATGTCAACCATTTCAGAGATGAGGCATCTGAGGCTGACAGGCCAGTAGTAGAGCTGAGGTTTGAGCTCGGTCCTTCTGCTCCAGACCCTCTGTTCTCAGAAACATCTTGAGTACCAGTTGGAACTGTTTCCAATAGTGGAAAGCCAACCCTGCACCTTCACTACAGTTTTCTTGGGTTCTAGTTTCCTCATCTGAAAATAACTCTCCAGATTACACATTCCCGCTAGTCCTTCAAACAGAAAACACATAGGTTCTAATGAATTGTCCTCCTCCTGACTTGAAGAGGTGAATGTTGTGGTTGGACCGACCGCACAAAGTAAAGAGATAATACGAAATTCTAGAGGCTTGTTTATTTGATAAAAGCTGAGAAATGACAGTTATATATTAAAGGAAAATAATTATAGCTTCTAGAAGATTTGTTTTGAGAGCTCTTGAAATTATTTTACCATGTATCAACAGTGAAAGATTATGGTGAGGACTGACTACAATAAATCTAATACCTTTCCCATTTGATTTATATTAATTATAATCATCCAATTCATGTATTGTATGTGTATCAGTTTTGTGTACTGACAGCAAGAATATGATCAAGAAAGAGCTCAATCTTGTCAGTACTCAAACTGCCGTGAACTCTCTACTAGTTGAGTTAGTCTCATAAAGAGCTGGGCACCCACAGGAGCACAGCCCCAGGCCCGTGGTATTTAGTGGAAGAAAGTCCAGAATACATTCATAAATTATCAGAACTGAGATGTTTCTCTGTGAGTGGGTTAAAAGCATTGCCATCATACCAGATACTGGCATATCTTAATATTTCTGACCTGATTATTTTTTTCTATCTACTTGATTAGTTATATAGTTGGTGAACTGTGGCTATCTGAAATAGTTGAAAATGTCCAAGGTATGGCTGTATGGGATCAGCCACATGCCCTAATCTCTTTTTGAAGCATCTGTTTAGATGCAACATTGTTCATGGCAAGGCTGGATTTCTTCCTGAAAGACATGTCATGGTCCCATGTTTAGCAGTTCCCCTGATCAGTAGAAAATGCCTCAGGCATCTAAGGAAATTCTTTATTGTTCATTTTTTATAATAGTAATGTATAGCATATTCTTCATAATGATATATCACAGCAGGAAGCAGTTTGAGCCAGAGTAGGACTGGACAAGCCCAGGAGGAGGACCAAGCCCCCAGACTGGCACTCCATACAGTAGCACACTCTTCCCAGAGGATCTGAGACATAGGGAGCTTTTCCGAGCTTTGATGTGAAATAGATGAATGGAGGACTTTTCTACGTTAAAATTTTTCCAAGTAAAGGTTCTCATTTGGCAGGTGGTTGTTATGTATACAATCAGTGCCTAATGAATGTCAAGAGCTATGTTGAGTATTAGAGATGAGACAGTCGCGGAAACAGTTGGGCACAGTCCTTTCCATACAACTCTTACAAAGCACTCACTCTCCACCTTAACCCTTGCTTTTGTGAATCTTCCATCAGCAGCAGCAGCATTTCAGGGGAGAAGAAGGGAGGAGCCATCAGTCTCTTTAACAAGGAAGTGGTAGCTTCATTAGAAGACTGAGTGTCAGAAGAGATGAAACACCAAGAAGTAGAGACAGGGCCATAGGAATTGTTCCCGGGCACACACACAGGAGTGTGCAAGCACTCCTAAATGCTGGGAACACAGGAACTCAGCGGTGAGGAGCCGAAAGAGGCGGCCCTGCCTTTATGCTGTTTATGGCTGCCATGCAGGTCTGCCAAACATTCCAGTGTAATACATGTTTCAACTCCCAGTCCAGCGAGAGAGTATTGACAGCTGTATCATGGTCAGGCACACCACAAGTAAGAATGGCAGTATGAGGAACTCCACCAAAAAAAAATGGCCTGGAATCACAGACTGTGTAAGATGAGCTCCTGCTTTAGAGGCTGCCTGGCAGGGGCCTCTGCAGCAGGATGATGCATGTCTCACCCCAGGTCTGCCATCCAGTAGCTTCCTGGCTATGCCTTCATGTCTTCCTCTAGAAATCAGGGTTGATGCTCCCTACCAAGTGGCCAGGGAAGTAAAGAACGATGTATTCCTAGTCCTCAGCAACGTGTGCATGTCACTCAGTAAACGCTCCGTATGAGGAAGCAAAACATGGATAGTATCAATCTAGGCCAAAAACCATGACATCAAAAAGAAACATCTAAGAACTGGACTGTGAATTCAGGTGAATTACCAATTGGTAAATTGTGAGTTGTGATTTTATGTATACACACACACACACACACACACACACACACACACACACACACACACACACACACACGTCTCTTTCAAAAACAGCCAGTAGAGGGCAGTGTAAGAGCAGAAATAGTGTGATTTCATTAGCCTTTTTGGTTGTTTTCTGTAATTAGTAAATCATGTGACTAGAGTTGCTTGCATTTGAATCTGGGAAGTAGATGCGTACTTGAAATAGCTGGATAATTCCATCTTTGGGAAAGCCAGTAGCCTAAGACTAGTGCTGAGACAGGCCAAAAAAAATGAGCAGTCCGGTTGTGGTCCCCTCTAGCACCAGACATGGGGTATGGTCCTCTCCCTCACTACAGAACACCTCGTTAGGACCTGGGACTCAGTGGTAGGCCAGGCTCCCCGAGAATGGCAGCCAGCAGCCCCACTCCTTATCTTGTAGGTGAGGGGGGTGAGGTCAGCTCCCCTCTCCCGCTCCTTCTCACACAGTTGGGGCTGCCGTCTGGGAGTGGCCCAGTTTTTGTGTGTTCTCTCTCTCTCTCCTTGAATGTGTCCTATAGCAAGACTTCCTTTTGTCCCTGGGTCACTTGTGCAAATGGGTCATAGAACACACCGGGTCATTTTGTGCCTGGGCCTGTATTTACTTAAAATTCTGAAAGTCCCGAGGGCAGTCTGTGGGGCGTGGGGTGGCCTGTGGGACGAAGGTGGAGGTACAGTCGGGGTGAAGGGCCTTTTCTCCTCCCACAGTGATCAAATGCTCAGCTATAACCTCGGCAGAAGGCTCCCAGCTGACCACGTGAGTGGCTACCTCCAGTTTAAAGTAGAAGTCACATCTTCTGTCCACGAAGGTGAGGTGTCTGTGTAAACATGTAAGCGCGTGTTAAATTTACTCGGTTGGTAGTTAGCATGTAAGCAGGATTGTTTTGTGTCCAAGGCTAAAAATGAAATGGCTTTCCAAGCACTTAGGAAAGTCTGCTTAGCAAAGACCGCTCCAAGATTTATGCTTGCGTCCGAAGCTAGGCTGAAGTTTCTTGCAAGCGAGCGTATCTACACCTCCTGTACCAAGCTTTACACAGGATACTCATTTAGTGAGGGGTGGTGAACCTTAGCAGCTGGTGATGATGCCCAGGGTCGTGCGGGGTGACGGAACGCAGCAACCTGGTTAGTTTCAGGACAGTAGATCTTTCTATCGTCTTCCTCCTGCTCACAAGTGCTACTTTCTCACTCAGATGCATCTCCGGAAGCTGTTGGCACCATTCTCGGGGTCAACACTGTTAACGGAGACCTGGGCAGCCCTTCTGACGACGAGGATATGCCAGGGAGCCACCATGACAGTACTGTTTGTGCTAATGGGCCCGTGTCCGAGGACAGTGCGGCTGAGGGGACCCCCAAGCACTCTTTCAGGACTAGCTCTACTCTGGAGATGGACACAGAGGACTTGATCTCTACTTCCTCAAGAACCTCGCCTCCCAGAGGCCGCCAGGACTCGCTCAATGATTACTTGGATGCTATTGAACACAATAACCCCCCCAGGCCAGGGGCAGCCGCCCCCTCTGAGCGGCCCATAGGAGCCTCTCCCAAACTGAGGAGTAGTTTCCCCACCGACACCAGACTCAACGCAATGCTTCATATAGACTCGGATGAAGAGGACCACGAGTTCCAGCAGGACCTAGGCTACCCGTCTTCCTTGGAGGAGGAAGGAGGCCTGATCATGTTCAGCAGGGCATCCAGAAGTGACGCTGGGAGCCTGGCATCTCAGACCAAGCCAGAGGACGACAACCCCGTGGAGAATGAGGATGCCTCTGTGCATGAAGCTGCCTCCTTAGAAGAGAGGCCTGAGAACCTTCCAGAGGTTGCAGACAGCTCCTTGCCCGCAAGTGCAGCCCCTGAGGACCACGAAGCCAGCCTAGAGCCCCACCCCAGTGCTGACCAGGGCGGCACTGAATTGTCAGGCTCTCAAGAGGCCGATCAGCCCGCAAGTGGCGCAGACACAGGAGGAGCCTCTGACACGTCTGGAGGGAGCCGCAGAGCTGCCAGTGAGACCGAGTCCCTGGACCAGGGATCTGAACCTTCCCAGGTGTCCTCTGAGACCGAACCCAGTGACCCTGCCAGGACAGAGAGCGTGAGTGAGGCCAGCACCAGACCCGAGGGGGAGAGTGACCTGGAAGGAGCTGACAGCTCGTGCAATGACAGCGTGACCACGCAGCTGTCCTCGGTGGACACCCGGTGCTCATCTCTGGAGAGTGCACGATATCCAGAAACCCCAGCCTTTTCTTCTCAAGAAGAGGAAGATGGGGCCTGTGCAGCCGAGCCCGCCAGCAGCGGCCCTACAGAGGGGTCGCAGGAGTCCATTTGCACTCCAGGCTCTTTACCTGCTGTGCAGGTGCCCAGTAGGGAAGAGGAGGGGCCGGGGGCGGAAGCCGCTGCTCTATCTGAGCAGGGGGAGCTGGGGGAGGTCTGGCAGAGGAGGGGAAGTCTGGAGGGAGCTGCTGCTGCTGCTGCTCCTGCTGCTGACGCTGCTCCTGCTGCTGACACCGAGAGCCAGCTCCAGGAAGATGGGGATGCTGGGGACACCCAGGGTGCCTGCGAAGGGGCCACTGCCCAGGAGGAGGGCGCCACTGGAGGTAGGCTATAGAAGACAGCATGGCTCTTGGCTTAAGCATAACCTCTCAAAAAAGAAGGCTTCCAGTTTCCCTCCGTGTAAATGATAATGCAGCTTGCATGTGTCTGTGAAGAGAGAGGCGAGTTCCTCACCTGGAGTTCACCAATTAGCAAAAGGGTTAGGAAGGGGAAGAGATGGAAACAGATGCCCTTCTCGTGCATCTGGTCTACCAGTCCAGATCCGGAGAGGCCAGCCCGAGAGGCTTAATCGTTTACCATTCACAGAGCTGGGAAGGAAGATGGCGTGGTTCCCATGCCCAACGGCCTGGGTTCCAATTCAGTCTTTTTTAAAACACGGATCATCTGTTGCTGCCATAAGAGGCCTGGCTAACAGCAGACCTCAATATTAAGGTTCGAAAATGAGTCACAGCCTTATTGTGATATGTAGGGGTTATCAGGAGCACCTCTTTCCTAAAGCCCTGGGACAGACAGTTAGTGTGGGCTTTGCATGAAAACTTGGTCCAAGAGATGTCGGCTGCGTTCAGTGAGCGTCCCGATGCGTGAAGACGGAGGACAGGAGGAAAGACGTTCAAGTTGCAGGTTCAGACCTAAAATCGGCCCCGAATCTCAGTGATCGTGGCTCCCAGGAATGGTTTATTCCAAATGTTCTAGAGAAAGGGCAGTTTTATGTGACTGGATAGCAAAGGCTCAATTAGGAATTACTCCTTTTCTTCTGGAGTGGGGATTGATGCTAGAGCCTTGAGTTGACGTGCTAGGCAAGTACTATATGACTGAGGTCCATCTCAGCCCTAGGGATTGTTTTCTTATTGTGAGATTTATTTTTCTACCTAAGTTATCATTTTCTTTCCCTCGGAAAACTCTTTTCATTTTCAATAACCTGTGGTCACTTTGTGACCCTAAAGTATTAGTGCATGAGCAAGTTAGAGGCAGTCAGGGGCAATGAAAGATGCATGCTGGGACATTTCTCTTGGGTCACCTCTTCTGAGTTCCTAATCCATGTGGGAAATGAGATAAAAGAGAGCATAGAGCATAGCCCTACCTGGAACTGATGTTTGATTGGTTTGCTTGCTTTTTATTGTGACAGGGTCTCCCTGTGTGGCCCAGGCTAGCCTAAAGCTCTCAATTCTCCTCTGTCAATCTACTGAGTCTTGGGATTACATATTTAATCCCAGTACATCTATCTTAGATGTGTGTTTTTGTTTTGAGTGTGTGTGTGTGTGTGTGTGTGTGTGTGTGTGTGTGTGTGTGTGCATGCATGCACACATGTGCACATGTGTGCATATAGAGAGACATCCGTCTTGACACAAAAGGGGAAGCAATCCCCGAGTAACTTGGGTAACTTTTTACCTTTAACCCTAGGTTCCCAAGCCAATGGCCACCAGCCGTTGCGGTCACTACCTTCAGTGCGGCAGGACGTCAGCCGGTACCAGCGGGTGGACGAGGCTCTCCCACCAAGTGAGCGGCTGTTAGCTAAAGGCTTACCCTCCTGGCAGTGCACAGGGGTGGCAGGCAGCTCCGTTCCAGGGGTCCTGGAGAAGGAAGTGTCTGGGAGATGACCAAGGGGCTGTGATCCGGGATGCTCTGCATGGTCACTCCTCTCTGGTAGTCTTCCGAACGAGAGGGCAGCTAGGAAGAGCTGTTCCGCCTGTGGCGTAAATGCCGTAACTGTGACAGTAGATCCGCATGTTTGCAGGCACTGGTTGCATAAGAGAATCTTTGCAATTATTCTTCACGGCAGCGTGGTTTTCATTCAGTGAGTGGGCAAGTCTAAGAGTTAGAAGGACCTCACTCACCCTGTAACGGACTGGCTTTTCGTCCCTTCCATCTGTTTAAACTATTAAGCACAGGGATCTTAGTTGTTCTTTTTGTTTTGTTTTTGTTTTTTTTTTTTCCCTTAAGGATATATGGGACATGCTATTAATTTCGGAAATCAGCCCATAGTTTTGGGGGAGAATATAACCACTATTTAAGGATTTCAAGGGTGTTTCATTCTTCTACTCCCGGAAGACACTGAGCACGTTAATAGACGGTTGAGGACTAGGGGTGTGGAGGAAATGATTCACAGCCTAAGTGACACTTGCCCACTCATAATCAGCATGGAAGATGAAGTCTGTTTAGATCTCTGGAGCCCCTGACAGCAGTGTGTGGAGAGCAGCCCGCTGTGGTGGCTGAGCATGGGGCTCAGGAGATGCAGCTGGAGAAGCAGCTGGAGAGGCCCTGGTGAGGTGCAGTGTTCCTTGTTCTTCATCCTCTTCTCACCTCTCCGCTCACCTGTCCTGTCACGTGGGGGCCTTCATATACCATATATATATATATATATATATATATATATATATATATATATGTAAAGAGAAGGCAGCAAGCAGTTCTCACTGGCGAGATTTGGAGGGAGCTGGCAAGAGAGCTACATGCTACTATTGTAGTTTATAAATAACTGGCTTGGTCCTCCTGGAATTCTGCTGGACACAGATCCCTCCATTTTTGATACATCTGGATAAAAATCAAATACCACTCTTGGGGGATATCTTGGTATAATTGGAACAAAGTGGGTTGGGGACAGCAGAAGAGAGTTGGGGCAGAGTTTTGTTTGTATATGTGGATCAATCATAGAGTTTCTGGGCATTGGAAAAGGAAGCGTAGCATTGCATGAATGTTCTGGTAACAAGCACCCTCCAGTCACATCGAGTTACTCTAGTATTTTTTTGCACATAATTTTGATCTAGAGTTTAATTTTTTTTTTTGGTTTTTTGAGACAGGGTTTCTCTGTGTAGCCCTGGCTGTCCTACAACTCACTCTGTAGACCTGGCTGGCCTTGAACTCACAGAGATCCACCTGCTTCTGCCTCCTGAGTGCTGGGATTAAAGGAGTACACCACCACAGCCCGGCTGACAGTTGTACTTAAAGAAGTAATTTTTTTTTTATAATAACTCAGAATTATGCAGTGCTTTGCAACTTTACACTTTATAAGGCACATACTCTCCTTATTCTGTGTTATAATAATTTTGAAAGATAGATTAAGAAAGTCTTATCTGTAGTTTATCAAAGGAGGCATAGAAATCAGACAGGGTGATTCTTGTACTGTGCGCATGAAACCCTGACAAACTCAAGGATTTGTTTATGGTCCCATACTAGGAAAAGGTGAATCAGAGACATTCCATCCCCCAGATCTAGTAGTCTAATCCCAGGTTAGAAGAGAGGCGAGCTGTGTGGGTAGGTGAATGTAAAGCTGACCTTTTGTCTATACAGGCACTAAGGGAGCTTTTGTAGCATGAATCCTAATTGGTCTTAATAAAAATCCAGAGCCAGATATCAGAGTAAGTGCTGAAAGCTCAGAGAAGCAGAGCAGCCAGCTACCACCTCTTACCTCGCCAACACCTCAGTCTGAAAGAGACCTAGCTCCTTTCTCCTCCTGCCTTATATTCCTTTCTCTGCCCAACCATATCACTTCCTGTCTCAACCTCCCTAGTGCTGGGATTAAAGGCATGTGCCTCCCAAGGACTGGGAGCAAAGGCATGAGATCCCAAGTGCTGGGATTAAAGGTGTGTGCCACCACTGCCTGGCCTCGATGGCTAACTGGTGGCTGGCTTTGCCCTCTGATCTTCAGGCAAGCTTTATTTGTTAGAGCATACACAGAATATCACCACAGAGTTAGATGGTGGCATGCTGTTTATTGGGTGCCAGAAACACTCCAGGCACAGTAGAAAGTTTGGGGATTTGCTGCAACCTCATTATGTTGTGTTTTGAGGTCAGACCTGGGGAGGGTGCACCTTTCTCTTCTCATGGGAGAGGCTTATCCAGTGGGACCCCGTCTGGGGACATCCTTGTCTCCTGAGAGGAGTCGCGGTGACTGTGTGAGCCACCTTTAAGTGATCCAGATAGATGGGCCCTGCTCAGCGCTGTGTCTAGATGAGCAGCACCCTTTGCTCTGCATGCACCTTGCTGTCCCCATCCTGGAGGGACAAGCCATGGAACCAGTGCACTTTGGGCCTGGATGCTTCTCAATGTTGGCTCCTCTTCTTTTTTTTTATCTTGTATTTTTTTCCTACCAGATGCTGAGAAAAGTACCTAGCCAACTTACACTGCTCTTCAAAGAGTTAAAAAAGCCAATTAGAGCTGGGTGAAGGCCATGCACACCTTTAATCTCAATACTTGGGAGGCAGAGGCAGGCAGATCTCAGAGTTGGAGGCCAGCCTGGTCTACAAAGTGAGTTCCAGGACAGCCAGGGCTACACAGAGAAACCTCCGTCTTGAAAAACCAAAATAGTAGTAATAGAAGTAGTAGTAGTAGCAGCAGCAATAAAATAAAAACCCAGTAGGGACTCACTCAGACATTATCAGCTCAGCACTGTGGCTGGTCACATGGTAGTCTACATGGCCTGGTGATAGTTTCTGAACATCTGTCTGAACTGTTTAATTTAAAGGAGGTGTTTGTGGCTGCTTCCAGTCCCTCTCCTGTCCCTGGATCCAGGCACAGACTTGAACTCAGTGTCCGTTGCTTATCTGTCATAATGACCTACCAGCTGGTCCTCAAGGGCTTACTCCTGCTTGGCGCATGAACGTGATCTTAGACGCGAGGGCCTCCCATCATTGGCTGAGAGGTGCTCTACCAGCTGCAGGGAGTAAGAAAACTCTGGGCCTTGGAGTGCACATGATAGTTGGGAGTTATCTGGGGTCTTAAAAACATGCTGTGTCTTGTCGTGATCAATCAGTGGTGCTGGCACATAGAGGAGCTTCAGGACTGAGGCCACCCAGTGCATTATCAGGTTGACCCTCTGGGTCTCTTTAGTGTAAAGATCAAAGGGAAGACAGGCCGGCTAACATAGCCACTCTGAAAAATGGTTTCCTGTCTCTTCAGATTGGCTCTGGGGTAACTGTGGCTTAACTCATGGCTGCACAGGAGGCAGTGTAGAATTGACGCAGATGCACCCCCCTGCCCCCCAAGGATAGTTTTGTGCTACGAACAGATCCTGGAGGAACAGTCAGGGTCAGGGACAGTAGCTGCCAGTGGCTGCCTCCCGGTCAGGGTGACGTTACTTACATGGTGGGTGTAGATAGACAGGGCTGGAAGAACACAGTGAGAGGCACTGGCTTTTTGTGATTTTTCCCTTTCATGGTTAAAGCATCCTTCAAATCAAAGACCTAAAAGCAGTCAGTGACTCTGAAAACTATAATTACTCTCAAAATTTTTAGGGACTCTGTCCTTGGAGTTTAAGATTGACTTTTATGGAAAAGAAGATACATTTAATTTCAAAGATACTGCTTAAAAACCAAAGACTACAGAAGGCCTGGTATTGCCCACTTTCAGTCTCCACACTCAGGTGGGAGAGGCAGCCAGATCTCTGTGGGTTTAAGTCCAGCCTGGTCTACTTAGTGAGTTCTAGGCTAGCAAGGACTATAATGAGACTATGTTTTAAAAACAAATAACAACAAAACAAAAACCCTGAAGAACAAGGAAAGTATGCAGCTGCTTGAACTTTTAACACTTTTTATTGGAATAAATATAACACCAAAGAGTAAGTTCAGACCCCAATCTTTTGAGCAGGATACTCTATGCAACCTGTACCTTAGAAGATCCTTTTGTGTCCTCAGCCACTGATTTCCTACCTCTCCTGCTGTCCTGACTGCCCAGATTACATATTTTGCACTTTATACAAGCAGCACAAAAACTCTGTATTAAAATAAAAGAAAATGGTGATCCGTTGAGACATGGTAGCTCTGTGAAGGTCTTCCAGCAAGGATGTAACAAGCCACAGCTGGAAACCAGACTTCTTTAGTTTAATGTACTACTTCCTGAGACCCACTGCGGCCATGGTTCTCAGTCTCCTTCCATCCTGACGGTTCACTTTATGCTGCCCTGTGGCAGAAGACAGGAAGGGTCCAGACCTTGCCTTCTAACTCAGCCCATCCCTGTCTAATTGCATCCCTCTGAAAGAAGCGATGGTGGTGCACAATGAGTACTCACATGCATTCTTACGTGAAGACCAAATCAGATCCAACAGAAAGACACACAAGAGGCTATACCCTTCAGAATAACTTTGCTAGTGATGATGGTAGTGAATCATCCTATAGATATTGACCACTTGGGCAGGAAGAATGCCAACAGCATTAACAGTCTGTCCCAATCCAATGCCAAACACCCACTTGAAATCAGCAGTCTTGCAGATCTGAAGATGTGCTATTTGATAAGAAGAGCCTTCAAAGTACATTCAGTTTTCTATCGTCTTAGAGAGCAAATTTGTGGTTCTGGTTTCTTTTTCTTCCAATTGTACATAAAAAAGTCTTTAATGAATGGCAAATTAGAGTTGTCCCTGGTCTTCGTTGGAAGGTAAACAAAAGGATCATTACTTTTTGTAGAATTATATCATTTAAAATTATTTGTTCTCTTATTATATGGTTTGCACAAGGCACAGTGGAAACTGTATTGGGGGATCCTTCCTCCAGATGTCTCCATTTGGCTACCTATGTAAGCTGTTGAACAAGCTGCATACACATCTAGTTAGGTTAATCTTTATTTAGTTATTTCCAAAGAAACAATTCCATCGCTGAAGGGTTTTTTTTTTTTTTTTTTTGAAGCTTTCTTTTGTCAGGAAGTGGAAAGTATGCAGCAATGTGTTTTCTTTCTGCTTCAGCTGCCAGAATTCCAGGGCCAGCTTTTAGTAACAGCCTTACCTTGTACACTTGGCCCCATTTCTTTCTGACTCCTCTACTTAGCTTTCTGTTCTTTTTTCAATCTCTGATTGACCTATTCTGTACTTTTTTTTTTCTATTGAGAGCTACTGTAAACAGTCTGTGGACAAAATTGCTAATTGTTTTCATGTGAATTTGGCTTGACATGCTGTCAGTAGGTAGATTTCCCAGCTCTAACAAGATAGGCATGAGATGGGAGACATGGGTTCTTGAGATGTCTGAGATAGACAAGTGTGTGTGGAAGAAAACAGAACTGTAGGGCAGATCAAAGGGTTTTTGAAAATACTTCCCAGACATGCTTGCCATGTGTCCATGAGGCACACTGAGCGTGAGATGAAGTCTTCCAGAAATGTCCTGTTGATGAAATTGTAGCTGCACCCAAAGAATCCAGTTGTATAGGGAGCTTCACTGTACCCTCCCCCCACCCAACCTTGGAAGTAAGTGGCATTGAGAGGCTATGGTGCTTTATCTCTACTCATGTTTTCTTTCTCTTGGCAGTTGTAACCGTGTGGCCTGGTCAGTATAAGATGCCTGTCCACCCGCAGCTAAAGCGGTAGTGTGATCTAGTGCAGGCAGGCCTACAGTGCAGGGCTTCGCAACCATAAGGACTGGATCGGGGTATTGGTTCCATTCACTTCTGGCAAGCACATCACAGGTCATGAGGAAAGCTCATGCCTTCCTCGCAGGCTCCTGCACCAGATTCAGGGACTCAGTGATGAGTTTTGTGATAACCTGGAAAAGCTGAGCCAATTGAACTTCTCAGGAGAAAAGTGTTTGTTAATTGTTAAATTAATTTACCCAGAAATATAAATTTAGAAAGATTTTTTTTCTGAACAAAGAATGGGTCTCTGATGTTTTCATGTTTCCTGTATAAAGTCCTCCTCCCAAAGGTATTAAATTCTGAAGATTTGTCTTTTGAAAAGATCAGACCATGTTCTGTCAGTTTAAATAGGAAAGGGTCACCTAGACATAGGATCAGGACACCTGGTCCTGCAGACTAGACTGTTCTCCAGTTTCACTGAACGCACATTTTTACATTGGTTTCCAGAGACCAACACATTTGCTATGATACTTAATATACAATTAGATAGTCTTTTTAAGCATTATATTTATCTAAAGTTGGAGGGGAGAAGTTGTCCTTGCTCTAAAAATATGTTTCTCTCCAGCAAAGAGCAGATTGATATGCGTAGATAATGATGCTGGTTGATTACTGTGAAGTGTGTGGATGGCTAGCTAGCTACGGTCCATTCAAAAACCTACATGTACCACTATTGTGTCTAAATACACATGGAAATGTCTGCTAAGCCACGAGAGAAAGGGAAAAGGTGCAGGCAAAGGAGAATGAAACAGATAAAATTTGGGTGAGAAACACCAATACCATTTTTGGTGTGAAACTATCAAAAATATAATGATACCACCCCACGTGTACTTTTAAAACAGATGCTTATGTCTAAAGGATGATGATGTGGTGGGCAACATGAAAAGATCCTTTACCTTTAGAAATTCTTTAAGAGTTTTGTATCATCCATTCTGTGGAGACTTAATAACTAGTAACAACAGTTTCCCAAGTGGACTGGGGAGGAATGCTGGACTACGCTGTGAGGTATGTGTTATTAGCCACAAATTACAGTGTGTGAGGGAGAGAAAACTCGGGCTGAACTTAATGAACCACCTCTCTGGCCCGGCCCCTCCTCTCATCCCTCTTGCTACCTTTCCTGCTCTTTAGACTGGGAGGCGCGCATCGACAGCCACGGCAGGATCTTCTACGTGGATCATGTAAACAGAACCACGACGTGGCAGCGGCCGACAGCTCCTCCTGCCCCCCAGGTCCTGCAGAGATCTAATTCCATACAGCAAATGGAGCAGCTGAACCGGCGGTGAGCGTCCACCTCCTGCTGTTACTGCTCTCTGTTGGGGTTGGGTTTTTACAGGGTACGGAGTAGGAGACTTGGCTGCTGCTTTCAGCTTTGATGTCCTGTCCACTGGGCCGTGTGTGTCGTAGACGCCATTGGACTTCTCTTGGGAGAAAGAAAACAAAATGTAAACATATAAACACACTTGCATTCTGGGAAACTACAGAGAAAATAACCTTCACAATGCCTATCATGCATTGGGTTTTTAGTAAGGCACGTATAGACATTTAGGATCTGAAGCCCGACTTCTGACCTCTAGAGTCTTCCCTTGAGCTGCAGCTGTATCCACCTAACCTTCCAAAGCAGCCATTCTTTGCCAAAAAACTAATTGCTGTGGAACAGAAACCTGTTTTCTCCTTCATTATAGTTTTTTTTTTCCTTTGGTTAAGGGACACAGTTTTAAGTTTTATTAATTTGTCAGGAGAACAGTCTAGAAACAGCTTCGATGCGTTGTCATTTACTTAAGCAACAGGTAGCTCTGTGAGGTGGAGGATGGGAGCCTGAAACCTCGGGGCTCTCGGGCAGCGTCCGAGGGCTGCAATGTAACCCCAGGGCCACGCTTTCAGTTATCAGAGCATCCGCAGGACCATGACTGACGAGAGGCCCGAGGAAAGTGCCAGTGCCATGGACGGGACAGGGGAGGAAGCCGACTTCCACCAAGCCAGCGCAGGTAAGCGAGGGCCTTGGGCTGCACCTCAGAGATACAGAAAAAGAACAGGGATTCCTGAGAAATGAGCTCTTCTTTGAGAGAACTCCTGTAGATCTGATAAGACAACTTAAAAAGAAATAAATAAATAATTTGACAGAAGTCTTTCCTAATACTTCACCTCTTATGGGTTCTGAGAAAAGTATCACAAAAACCAAATAGGTTGAAAAACCGCCACAGTCTCAGAACCTGGGTCAATGTGGAATAAGAGCCTGGCCATTTTTTAAAAGCTGTGGATGCTTTGTGACATGGGTAACAACTAGAAATGATATCCACTAGCATTTTAGTGTCATTAAGAACAGTCAGGTTTAGGCATGCATTTTTTTTTTTTTTTTTTTTGGCAAATAAAATGTGGTTTCAGGGAGTTGAAATCATAGCACATGATGCAAGTGCCGTTTGTATTGTTCGGTTCTGAAAGCCTTTGGTCTGTCTGATTAGACTTCCGCCGGGAGAATGTCCTGCCTCACTCTACCTCCAGATCCAGGCTCACGCTGCTGTTACAGTCGCCCCCTGTGAAGTTCCTCATCAGCCCAGAGTTCTTCACTGTGCTGCATTCTAACCCTGTGAGTAGAAAAAACAAAAAAGGTTGAAGAAAATGGCCCTCGCTCCTGTAATGATTGTAGGCCTCGTTGGAGTATTTCCAGAGCACTTGGTGTCTTCCAAACTCTGTGTTAAGTGACTTGCGTCTTAAACCACTGAGCCCATATAACCTGCCTACTGTATGTAACAGATGTCTGTAACTGGAGTATTCCTGTGTCCAACCGGCTCCTGTAGCCGCTTAGGCCCAATTAAACACACAGAGACTTATATAACTTATAAACTGTATGGCCGTGGCAGGATGCTTGCTATCTGTTCTTATATCTTAAATTAACCCATTTCTATTAATCTATACCTTGCCACATGGCTGGTGGCTCACTGGTATCTTGCATCATGCTTCTCCTCGTGGCGGCTGGCAGCATCTCTCTGACTCTGCTTTCTTCTTCCCCCCTTCTCCTCTCTCCTTGTCCCGCCTATCCTATACTTCCTGCCTGGCTACTGGCCAATCAGCATTTTATTTATCAATCAATCAATCACAGCAACATATATTCACAGCATACAGGACATCCCACAGCAGGCATCCAAAACCAAACAAACAAAAGCAAAAGCCTTTAGAGCTGACTGGCTTATAATAATAGCAAGAGTTCATTCATTTTCCACAATCTCGGGGGCAGGGAAGTCCAGGATCGTTTTGGTTGATCTGGAGTCAGGCGATGTCTTTCATGGGGTTGTGCGCCTTCCTGAAAGGATGTGAGGGCTGCCTTCGGTTCTGCTTTTAAGAGGTACTGATTCCACTCAGGAGGATCCTCACTATGCTTTATCCACTACCGAGCTACCTCCTGATGTCGTCATATTGGTGATTAGGTTTCAGCAGGTGAATTGGGACGTGGGAGGGCCACACAATCAACCATACCAGGAGGATCATTCCACGAGTTTCTGGGTGTTGAGGGAACAGCTTTGCTGAAGATGTTAATTGGAGAAAGGCTGTCTTAATTGTATATGGAATGGTCTACAATAAAGGATATATTGTCTATAAGTTCAGCTGGGTAGAATCCATTCATCAGGACCTGAGAGGAGCCTCAACTAGAGAAGGCCCCAGCAGGAGAGGGAGCAATGGAAAGTTGGCAGGATTTGGTGGGTTAGAAACTGAAAATTGGATACTGAGGATGGCCCTGAATAGTAGTGATCTCACATTAATAACTATAATAACGGGAAAGTTAGAATGGAGGGGAAAATACTGAATGTGGAAAAATAAATTAAACATCTTAGGAAAATCAGACTAGACCAAAGGGAAAAAGTAGACACTGGCATAGTTCTAGTACCTGGAGGTGTCTGTGAGGTAGTTACTGTGCACCTATTTACTGATATTCTTGTGTTTCTGTCTAACCTCGTTAGTATGTGCGTCTGCCTGATTTACCCATCATTATGTCCCAGTTTACAGGTTTATCTTGGAATAAAAATGACTTGGGTGGAGAGAGAGCATAAATAGCATGGTATTTGTCTTCACAGCTTGCATGAGGGCTTAGGCATTTGCACATTTGCCAACTTTCTATTAATTCCTTGTTATATAGTAGGCACTGAGCTAAGTCCTAGGAATGTATAGATGACAGCACCCATGGGTCTTGGAATCTCAGCCTTGAAAATACATTGCCGTGTTTTGATGATCATGCAGAAGGGATGCACAGGAACAGTGAGTGTGTAACCCCACTGGGAATGCACAGGGAAGGGGTCATAGATGGGAATGCACAGGGAAGGGGTCATAGATGG